GCTTTTTGGCGGTCAGGTCCAAACTTCCGACATTTTTGGATGACCGGTTTGACAGTTTTGTCGAGGTTGAGCCGATGACAAGCCTTCTGGGGGGTCAATACTCTTCATGTCTTCATGTTTCCACGCGAACACATCGGGATTTGATTGAAGAAAATGAATTAGCTGAGAACGCAGAGGTTCTTGAAGATTGGCCCCGATACGTAATGGCTTTTCCTGAGTCGACCCATCTATGTAGATGACTTCAACATCTTCAAACAGGTTCTACCCAGATATATTGGCTTTTTTCTTTAAATTGCAACATGGGATCTATATCGTCTTGGGTCTGAACAACCTCTTTGCCAGGATGTTGTCCTCGGGCTTGGTCTTCGCTTGATGTGTCAGATGATCCGACGTCATGGGGACATCGATGTCGGGTATCAACAAGATCTCGGTGTCCGGGACGAGAGAATTTGTCACATCGGTATTGGAGTGTATAGGATTCATGGTGTTCTCTTGATCACGATCACCGATTTCTTTTGCTTCAAATGTATATGTACCTTGTGAAGCTAGGGTTAGAGGCAGGTTTTGCGCTTCTCGCTGATCCTCACAATGAGTGCCTTCTCCTTCAATCGTGGGAAACTTCAATGCATAGTGGAAGATGGAGATAGCAGCTCGAAGCTTATAGAGAGCAGTACGCCCCACAATAGCGTTATATACATTTTGGATATCCATGATCTTAAAAGTCTCCATGATAATCTTCGACTTAGGCCCGAATCCTCCGAACCGAATGGGGAGCTGAATTTCACCGAGTGGGCAAGAAATACTTCTGTTAAAGCCTTCAATTTGATCATTACAGGGATGAATGTCGGCTGGGTCCAAGCCCATCTTCTTGAAGGTTCGGAGCATTAGGATGCTTGAATAGGCCCCAGTGTCAACCATAATCCAATGATAAGGGATTCCTCCAATTGGGGCAGTGATGATGAGAGAGTCCGAATGTGGGTGAGCGAATAAATTAGTGTCTTCTATATTGAAAGTGATGGGACAATTTCGGTTGTTGATGGTGTCTCGAAGGTCAACATTTAGCACTTGTTTCCCGGCATTCTGCGCTTCCCGGGCATAGGCTTTGGCTTTACGTCGGGAGATATCAAGCTGTTTGGTGTTGGTATTCACCCGAGGTATGAACTTACAATACGGAGACCTTGGTGAAGTACATATTCTAGATTTCTTGCTCTCGATGGTTGCAGTCCCGACGGTATCTGAAAAGGTGAAGACTTCCTTGTCGGTCATGCGAATTCTCTTCGTATTGGCACCTCGGTCGTCATTGTCTTCTTTCATCCGACATGTCTACAGGTCTTCCTTTGCGACATGCATCAGAGTTCCTGAACTTTTGAAGTTGAGGCTGCCCAATCAGGCGAAGGAGAGCCGACAGTAAGCCAAGGCATTCATCGGTATTGTGTCTCGGAGACTTGTGATATGCGCAATAACGTGTCTTGTCAAACTTTTCTTATGGGGTTCTTATAGTTTTCGGGTCAGGAATAATTCCTTTTCCCTTTAATTCTTCAAAGATGGTTGTTGCCCCTGCCGAATATACAGTTTGATAGCCCGTTCTCACGTTGTCGGCGTATTGATCTCGTGCAGTTCTAGAATTCGAAGTGTCCGCGTTGCCTCTTGCATAATTTCCGAATTGAGCCTTGTTGAAGGCCTTCTTATTCTTTTCTTTGCTTCGGGCTCCGACTTATCTTCCTTGATATAAAAATCAAAATTGGGAACCTACATCGATTCCTCTGCAATGATGAACTGTTGGGCACGCACGAGAAATTCTTGGAACGTAGCCGGTTTGTTTTGGCAGAGAGTCCACCGAAATACCGAATTCAGCTTTAATCCGGCTATTGCAGTAACCAATAAGGTCTCAGGATGACAAGGTTCCATGTTCTGGATGCGTTCGTTAAATAGGGACACATAGTCTTTAACGCTTTCATTGTCTTTTTGCACAATGTTGGTAATTGATTCCTTTGGGATGAGACAAACTTGATCACCGATGAAGTGCGACCGAAAGGCCATCCGCAGTTGTTGCCATTTCCATATGGAATGCGGTGGCAAGGTGTAGTACCATTTCTGAGCACGTGGCCCCAGTGTAAGCGAGAACATACGACATCTCAAAGCGTCGGTCGCACCATGTAAGTCCATCCAGGACGTGTAATGTTCTAAATGTGCGTCAAGATCCGAAGTCCCTTCATACATACCGATTTGTGGAATCTTTATTTTGGCAGGAAGAGTTTCAGCCGTAAGCTCAGGTGCTAAACGAGAATCAGCTTCAATGGTGACGTTACCCGGGCTAGAGATATGTCGTGGAGATTCTTCCTGTGACTTTTGTCTAGTTTCCAGCTCAGCTAAGCGTTTGCATAAGGCTTCCAATTCTTCCGATCCTTGACGCGACATACGATTCTGATCAATTTGATGGCGCAGATCTTCACGATATTCTTGCAAAGGACATGGAGGCCGTGGGGGTGCAGGAGCTCTATGATGGTGAGCGGAGTGACTTTCAGTTGTCATTTATTGATTTTGAGCT